CGAGCATGTTTAGTGGGACGGGGATTCGAACCCGCGACCCGCAGATTACAGCACGTAAGATTCGATATTTTAAATGAAGTATTAATGTTACACAGTGTTAGGTATATAAACACAATTCCCCTGGCACATGTAACATCACAATTTATACCATTATCGTCACTTTAAGATAAGGAAAATGAAATGCATAACACAGAATTATTCTAAATGACATTTAATAACGCCAGATAATAGAAGAATGTCACGCGCATAACACACAACGAATTTTTAGCCAGCTAATGATTATATAGTCTGACACACGTTTTCTCTCTCTCCCCCAATCATCAGGTGTCAGAAAGCACGGAGATTTCGTAACATAGAATGCTAATATTGGTAACCACCATGTTACATAACTTTACCCCGATCACGTGGCCTATTTTGCCACGCCCTGTTTGTGTACAAGCAGCCATATTACATAACTTTACCCCAATCACGTGGCTAATGATAGCCTATTTTGCCACGCCCTGTTTGTGTACAAGCGGCCATATTACATAACCTTACCCAAATCACGTGGCTGATGATAGCCTATTTTCCTTGCCCTGTTTGTGTACAAGCGGCCATATTACATAACTTTACCCCAATCACGTGGCTAGTGATAGCCTATTTTGCCATGCCCTGTTTGTTTTCAATTATAAACTGAAAAATTTGAGAACGTTTTTGATTAATTGAAAATAAACAAATTTCTGTTTACTGAAGATAACTTGATAACTGTCAGAATTTATAAATCTGATAATAACCAATTGTCAAAATAAATGGCTTTTACTTATATTTCTTAATAATATAAATATATTCTATGTTGTTGTTGGGCTTAGGATTTTTCTTCTGTGACTTGTTAGCGATAAATTCAACGATGAATAAACAGCACGCACTTCACTTGTTTTCAAAATAATATATATATATATATATGCGGAACAAGTTAAACGTATCTCCAACAAATTCTTCAACACTATAGATATTATAGGCATATCATAAACACTATATATATAGTTCTCTTCTTCTTGTCAAAAGTCCATTTAGGCTTATTCAATTACTTTAGAATTTCAGTTGACAAGCCGAACTATCTTCTCTGTGAGTATTACTATGACACTAGTATTTTGTGTGTGATTCACTTACAGTTGTGACGCAAGTTACCGTAATTCGTTTGGTCTTCTTTCTTCAGAAGATCCCCTGTTCCTTTTGTCAAAGTGTACCCAGGCTGATTCAATTACTTTAGAACCAAGCTTTGACGGAATAAATTATTTTTATCTCTGGATAGCGTTAGGCCTATGTCAATTGTTAGGCCTATCACTTCTACGGTAGCTAACTTTTCCATTTGTAACTTCACTCTCTTCTGCTATTACCAGTCTGCAGCTTCCCGCTCGTCTCACGCTATTTATATCTTTATCACCTAATCGTCTGTCCACCTACTATATTCTCGTCGTCAATGTATTATTAACAAAACTTCCTACAATCGTCTGCATTTAATTCTTATTATAACAAAAACTAAACAATAATAAAATATTCACTCACAAACACAAATAATTCAATAACATCTAAACTAAACAGTCTTTTATATCATGACAATAATTATACAACTTTTAGAATCATAATAGGCATATCTTACAATAAAAGAAAGTACTAATTCACATGTTCTCAAAACATTAGTAAAATTTCAATTCTTAACCTCATAAGTTAGCAATTTTATAACTTAACTTATAGAGCTACTGTGTGGACAAAACGAAAGATGAATGACAACCTATCGACGAATCAGATCGTGATTTGTTCACATATTGTAAAATGTTTGAGATGTTGAAGTTAGAACTCGTACATGTTTGTGTGGCTAACTTTGAGATGTTGAAGTTAGAACTCATACACGTTTGTGTGATTAACTTTGAGATGTTGAGGAAAGAACTCCTACGTGTTTGTTTGTGCTGCTAAATTTGAGTTACCGAGGGTAGAAATCATATTATATACATGCCGCAAAGATAAGCGACATACTACAGAAAATTATAAGCGCGTCACATCGTGGATTCTTCTTTGTTTGCTACTTGAAAAGAGACACAGTTCAAAATTGTGTTCATTCAGGAACAGTGTGATAAATGTGTTTTTTTTTCTCGTGGCTCGTGCTCCATGTAATAATTTCCACCTTTCGCACATATTTTGTACCAGAAGCGGACTTTGTCATAATATTATATAACATTAAACACACATATAAATGTGTGTGTGTGTATGTAATCCACACAGAATAGTAAAATGTTATATTCATATATGTTGAAACTTAAAGTGGAAGAGATAACCAAAAAAGACAATGGATTGAACCACGTCTTTTATATATATATTTCGTAACTGCACAATGGAGTTGTACGAGGCACAGCGGATTTCTGTATGATACTTTCAGGTAGAAACTGAGTTGACAACAAGTATCAGATAGCTAGACCAGCTAATAACAGCAGATTTGCCGAGAAAATAAGGAGGATTATCTGTTATAATGTGTGTGTGCGAAATAACTAGAGTGTATAAATTTGGTAAATATGAACACAATCTTTATTAAAGAACAGACAAAAGTTTAACGCGGCATTCGTACTTGCACAAACAAAATGAGTCCAATCTCTACTAGGTTGTGTTTAGTCCCACAACTTTTACTCTCTCGGGATTGAACTCTTTATAACTAAAACACGGTGATATTCAAGTACGATTTCCTAGTAAAATTGGATCAAGAAAGTGCGCCTGAATTCAACAGGTAAACTTGGTTTCTTTGTCCAGTCGACAGCATCCCCTCGAGACCTTTGTTCTCTCATAACTTGGTCAGCTGTTACGTTTAAACAGCTACAACTCAGTCAACCCAGATGTTATATGTTACTGCAATATCCTCTCAGGCATATTAAACATTATCTACTTTGGAAAAAAAAATAAACAAAGCAACTAAAGCGAGACCGCGTATTTACGCTAAAACTGCACACACACACACACATTAAATGAACAAAAACTTTTAAAATTTTCTATATCACTAAAGCAACTAGAAAACATATAATATGCATGCATATCACAACTGATGAAGCCAATCCCACACCATCCCATCATACCCAATGAAAACAGTCCTACAACATCCCATCATACCTGATGAAATCAAATCCTACAACATCCCATCACACCCAATAAAACCAATCCTACACCATTCAGTCACACCTGATAAAACCAATCTTACATTAACTATACTAT